GTGAACCAAGATGAAGCCGATGCCGTTGCACTAGAGTCTGAGATAGAGGATCTTGTCCAAGATGTTGGAACCGTATTCAATTTAGTGGAGGATAGTGAGTCTGAGGAGGAGCGTCTCATCGATAATAGAAAACGCTTTCGAAAAAATTAAAATTTTGAGTTTTGTACGTGCTTTTTCGGTGTTTAAAAATGGGAGTATTTTATTCAATTTAAAATCTTGAAAAATATATTAGTTTACGACTTTTTGGCGAGGACTCTATTATTTGGATTAATCTATTTGGCAGCCTAGTTGCTAAATATTATTTGGCAGCCCATTGCCAAATATAATCAACTTTCAAGACTCTCTTTGGCAGCCCAGTTGCCAAATAACATTCATTATTTACTTGGCAGCCTACCCAGCGTTATTTGGCCTCTAACTATTTTTTTTTTTTTTTTTTTTTTTCATTCCTAGGAACCGTATATGTTTATAACGCTCATACTTCAAATTAATAAAGCTCCCGTCTTCTACGTCATAGTTATGTGTAGTGACATTGTCTTGTCTCATTTAGAAAACTAATGACTTTTTTTTTTTCAAGTAGGTCGCTCATACAGTTTTGGAGGTGCCATTTGGAGATCAATGCCTATGAGAGGTTTTCGCTCGGAGCAAACGCGTCTCACCTGCTACCTAGACGTCTTCAATAAATCATTCCCTAACCGTGTACATTGAAGGTTGTTTTGTGAAGATGTCATCGCCGCTGCCCTTAGTACCTCCGGCGGCATTAGCTGTGCAAGGCAATGTATCCACAAAACGCTGCCTGTTTTACCACTGATGTTATGACACTGTTATCAAAAAAAAAAAAAAAAAAAAAAGTAATGTATTTGGCAGCCCAGCTGCCACCCAAGAGTGCGAAGTTAAGTGGCAGCCCCAGAAGTAGGCTGCCAAATAGGGACTAAGGAATAATGCGCCCCCCGTCAAATTGAAAAATGCCCCCCGGCTGAGAATTCCCATACCCCCCCCGTTTTCACCCGAATTGTTACCCCCCGTCATCCACATTTAATTGTTTCTGGTTTTTTTTTTTTTTTTTTTTTTTTTTGCCTCTCACTCCAAATCAAGTAATCAGATAAAGCTTTGTAACGCTGCCGTTTGTTAGTTAAATACCCATCAAATACAAGAAGTATATTAAGCAATAGATGTATAATTGGCAAAGACCTCTCTAAAAGCAAGACCAGTATAATAACGGGACCTAAATCATCATCCATGTAGCCATGTGACTTTTTTCTGAAAAAAAAAAAAAAAAAAAAATTCATTTCCACGATCATGTCTCATCTTCCTCTTCCATCTTTATTTATTCTTTCCTTCACGCGCTCCTTACGCTTCCATCAATTAAAAAGACTAATATGACCGCTTCCTCCCAATTCGCTTTCCGCTAAAGAAGATCCCTTCCCATTAATTGTTCCCAGTCTAATTGATCTTAAAGAATATCACCAATAATAAATATGAATGGCTTTTTTTTTTTTTTTTTTTTTTTTTTTTTTCGTCACTATAAAGAATTTATTGTTTGCAAAAGATGCTACTTAAAATCAGAGATTGTTTTTGGAATCTGCCAGACAAGTGATTCGGACCCGACTTTCCTTCGCTTGGCCTGCATGGATCGTGCTGGCGTCTCTGCCGTGGGCTCCGCAGGCTCATTTTTGCTCTGTTTGTCTTCGTAGCTTGCCGTAAACCGCCGGCTTCTTGGTCTGCCTTTCCCATTGAGTATATCTCCATCAATAATACTCTCCACTGGGATACCTTTAAACAAGCAATCGCTATCAGCACCATCCTGTGCCTTGACAACTTCATCAGAACCTGCGGTAAGGCCAGTCTCCTTGGTTGATATGTTTGTACTTTTTTGTATCGAGTCCAAGCTGTCCATAACCTTGCCAAAATCATCATCCTGCACTGAAGCTTTCGTCATGGCTTCTGCAATGGCTTTCGACACTCCCATCACTGCCGCGTAGCGCTTCTTAGATCGTCTGTTGGATTTAGGCACAGATAGGGGAGGATAAAAAGCTTGCAGGGTCGCCGTGCCTTCGTCGGGTAGGCTGCCAATGGGGTCAAGGGCCTTGCGGGTTGATGCATTGACGAACGGCTCTCCCTCGATCATGTCTTCAACAGCCTTGCCTTCCTGCTTGTTCTCTTGGAACCATCGTCTTAGGACCATTTTAATGTGGTAAGTAAACCTGTTGTCTTCTTGCATCATCCAAAAGTAGTGCCGGCAAACAAACCCTTTGTTGGTTGAAAGAGCGCAGGTGCAGAAATGCTTCCTATCTCTGAATAGAACGACGATTTCTGACACTGACGACGTCTTGTCTTCGACGGAGGAAACAGCCATCACGTTTTCTTGGCCAGCCCTGGAGATCAAGAAAGCAACCTGTTGATACAGGAGATCCTCCTATTATTGTGTTGATTTTTTGCATATTTAAAACAGTAAGTTGAATATTTTAGAAGACAAGTCATTCAATGAGGTGTCTCTTTTAGATGCACTCCCATGCCTCAAGGCAATGGATATATCATAAGCATAAACGCGGGATGACGACCTACCATCCGTCTGGAGCTGATTTCTACATGCTGCAAAACCTCCTGAAGATCGAGGGCTTGATGACTGAATCCAAATGAGTATCCCATCTCCTTTCTTATCTCGTTCATGGAGTATTTAGTTAGATACTTGCTGTTCATCTTTAAGACCTGTTCAAACGTCTTGACAATCATACTATCAGTCACATCGGGAACCTTCAAATCCATCTTGTATCGGAAGTGCTCGTCTCCTGCAGTCTTACTGAGTACCTCAAAGAGATCGACCAGAGACGTTTGGCTATTGATGCCTACTGATTTGATAAGGTTATGCGTCATTTCGACCCGCTGCGTCGATCGCATGCCTGCTGTAAAAGACGACTTGACCCATGGCCCTGCCCAATGAGACCGTCGTTTATGGAGAGTTTCCAAATAGGAAACAACCTTGGCGTCGTCTTTGTGATCATCCAATAACTCTCCCCAGAGGTAATCGAATGCCTCCTCTGTTAAGACCTCGCGCAATTGCTCAAATCGCTTCTTGAAGATAGAAAACTTCTTATCACCGAGCACAGTTTGCACATTTGGACGGAGATTTTTGTTGATATGCCATATACAATTCACGATACGAGTTTCTCTGAGCACTTCCGAACATGCCGTATCCATTGCTGAGTCACTATCCATTAATAGGGTGCCCGGTTGAAGGTTACCGCTTGCTATCCTAAGCTGTTCGAAGACCCATTCATAGTCCTCCGCCTTCTCTGTACGTATCAAAGCGCATGCAACTAATCGAGTCTTGAAATGGGCATCAACAACAACAATACAATGGAGGGGCATGCGAAGTCGGTTCGTTTGAAAAGTAGTGTCGATCACCACAACATCATGGTATCGCCGATATAGCTCTCGTTGGCTCGGGTTCATCCAGAAGAGGCGAGACAAGGCGTTGGTCGAGTCATAGATGGCATGGTGGTACCAACCATCAATTGAGTCGACAATGCGCGGCTTCTGATTCAAGAGAGTGAGAAGTTGAACGGTCTGCGGCACTTCATTATGGATATTTGCTTTCCTAAATGCCTTGAGGCGAGTCTCGGCCTCGACTTTGTTGAACCTGTGGCCTCGATGTTCGTAATCAAGAAATGCCAAAGTATTACCGATGCTCTGCTTTAGATCAGCACATTTCTTTATGGTACTCAGCATAGCATCGGATAGCTTATCGTATTTCCTGAGTTTTGGATCCATCTCATGACCATTATGCCGATTGTCCACCTTGGTGATGTGCCACTTGGGGAAAATGTTACGGGGACAAGTCAAGTTGATGAAAAATGGGCAACTACAGCGTCTAGACGGCGCCTTATTGTGCCGTTTAGTCATATCTTGACTTTTGTTTGGCGAATGGATCCCAGCTAGGCTGCAGACAAATTTGACTACAATATACCATGTAATACGTTGGTTGTTAGAGGAATACACCCTGAGCTTCAAGTACATGAACATGCTCTTCAAGTAAGGATATGTACGTACTTGAGGGTGGAGCTCCATTTGGCTTAGATTTTCCTATCCTGATCTTAAACCCGATTTCTGCTGCCCAGGCTTCAATCCATGCTCTCGCTGCAGATAAATCATCAAACTCGTCGTCTGTCTGAGGGGTCCACTGGTTAAGGCATACTGATGCGCTACTCTCAATACTCTTGATGCTCCTACTCATGTCCACACAGTCGGTTTCACTACTGAGGGCATTGGAGCTCTCTTGGTCACTTCCGACTTCGTCCTGATCCGTGTTTTCGTTGATATCGCTATCTGCGAACATGTCGCTCACATTGTTCTCTATATACATTATACATTACTCATATTAGTACCGGCTCTCACGTCGCTGCCAACTAGCATAAATAGCCAGCACCATCGTAGCAACTTCGGATAGACTTGAGAGAATAGTCATCCTCAGACTTCCCCTAGGCTCACCTTCACTCTTGCTATTTACACAATCCTTGAAAGGCTTCCCCTTCCATATATCGAGGTTTCGATTGACGATTAAATCATCTAGGGTGGAGGGGCAGTCATCATGATCCAATGCCTTGTATTCGTTTTCGAAATCAAGGTCTACATCAGTACTAATACTGGCGCTATCCCTGTATTGGTGTACGTCGCTGTCACGAACAGCAAGCAATGTCTAGCTCATGAATTGATGAATGACTTTTGTCTGATTCGAATCTGAAAAAGATCACGTGTGCTTGATTAATTTGTTCCGCTCATTTCCTTCACTCATTCCTCCATGCATAGTTTGCCTGTCAAGCCAAGTCGCGTCTCCTAGTTTTCTAGCTCCGTGAATAGCTCCAAGGATTCTAGAAGAGCTATAAACCAATAACCAAGACTTATAGTGCTAAGGAACCTTGAAATAAGATTGCACCAGATATCTTCCTCGGATCCTGTGTATTAAGTTAACTCAACACTTGGAGTTCCGCATATGGTAAAAGTCCTTAGGAAATATTTGAGTAAGCTTTATTTAGAGTTCTTGAAGCGCGTCTCCGCTTCAGTCAAACAAGTATAAATATAATAGACTTGTAACATAGTAAACCTCAGTCTGCAATAAAACTATTCTTGAATCTCCTAAGTTCATTCTTGTTCCTTAATTACTTACCTTCTCTTGCAATCGTCCTGTCAGTCCTTGACAGTCGCTGGATACGGATGAGAGTTCATCGGCATTGGATTCAATCTAATACGAACAATAATAGCCACTGTTTTAGTCATTTTGTCTGTATAGTCGCATCTTCAAGCGACGGTTACTGCTGTTACCTCAGGCACGCCTACTAAGAGAGCTAAATACCGGATACGGTGGAACAACACTTGGTCTGCAGATTCAAGCTTCCAAATGTTGGACGTTTCGCCTTGAAGAGTCTTATGGACATCATGCTCGACTGCATTCGCTGCATAAATGCCACATGAACCACCATCTATCTGTGGCTCTACAAGCAACTTCCTAACAGGCTTATTCCATGCTTGTGCTCCTCTGCCATCGAAGCACTTTATTAGCCATCGGCGGACGCCATTGATTGTTTCTTGAGGCGTAGGATAACTCAAGGAGTCCCCAAAAGCTATCTCATGGCGTTTGAAATCGATAGAAAGTACACCCCAGTGGTTTTTCATATGTATAATGGCATATGCTTTTTTATACTTGCCGGACTTAATTTCCGCTTGCTTCCAGCCTCCGCCATTGGTTGCTCTGAGCTCCTGGTTTCCCAAACATAATGTTTGATATGATGGAATAAAAAGGAACTCTTCATAGACGGACTGGAACATCCCCAGGATGCCGTCCAAACTTCCATCGTTTAGCCACTGAGTGCCAGCGAATGGGAGGATGTCATGTATGGAAACTGATATTCCCGAGAGAATGAAGTGGTGCATCCATGTGCATGAGCTAAGTCGCGGCATGAACGATGCCTCAAACACGGGGTTGGCTGTGCGTACTTCTTTTTCGAGCCATTCTACCATACGATGGAGCTTATTGATAAATTCCACCACTCCAATGACTTGTGATATTAGCAGGAATTTGGAATAGTCTAGACCAGCATTGTCAATCAAGACCCAGCACGGAGTCTTTTTCGCATCCATGTTTTTTTTTATTCTGTCGAATTCACCTTGAGTCGGGATACAGCTTAGGAGAAAGAGCTTTGAAGGCGGCAAAATTGTTTCGGGTTCATCGTCGGTCAGATGCAGCGGATCAGAACTGAATTTCGGAAGACTAGGTTGCCAAGCCAGCAAATCTTTGCAAGTCATCTGACTACACCAGTCTCGGCCAAAAAAGAAAGGGACATCAGTAGGTGACATGACAAGAGAATCAGTTAGTGAGGCGTGGGAAGGTTCGCTAGACATGCTGGAAAGTAGAAGAGTGAGAAGGAAGGTTTACTGTAGATATTGAGGTGAGCAAGTGTTGAAAAGCTTTTGAAAAGTAAGAAAGAGATATAATCCCCAACGATGTCCATGGGTTATTTATCAAAGATATTACTCTAACAATGTTCCTTGTCATGGCCTCATAACGCGGTACCCCACTACACCGCCTTGTCATGGCCTCATAACATGGCGCCGCCCCACTGCGCCGCACTAACCCTCTATGGCATTTCGCCCCTACAGCCCATTGCGCCATTCTGCAAACAGTCCGTCCACTCGCGTTTTTCTTTTGTTTACGACGACGCCAACTGCAGGAATAAAGGTATTTGTCACACGAATAAAACTAAAAAAAGAAAGACGATTTTTTGTCATTATCATCCCTTATTTAATCTGTTCCCGGCATCACGTAAGTTAGCCGCTTTCAATGTGGTTGTTTGACATTTTATCCTTGTGGTTGATTTTGGTCGGCCCCTGGAAGCTGTACTTCGTCTAGTCATAAACTGGATATATTTTTATATTTTTCAGGCTTTTCAATTGAATAGAATACTTCTATTTTTGAAACATGTACAAACTCAAAATTTTAAGGTTTTTCTGTTGTCCCCCCAAAACTTGTTATCTTCTTTCACCAAACATGCCCACAGTATCTGGCGTAAGATCTACCGCTTCAGAGATATGTGAGTAAAGTGGGTTGGCAATGAGGATGAGGTTGTCCATTCCCAACAAATTCTAGTATTTTTAATCAAAAACGACGATTGAATTGGTGGCCATGGCATCATTTTATTCAAAGTATATATATGAATTTCTGTCTTCGTACAGTACTAAATAACTTTTTGGCAAGGGGGTTCACACATCGCTTGACCGCCTGTGATAATTGTTATAATTTAATTTGTTTTTTTTTTTTTGTTGGGGTCCAAAATGTTGCCATGTCGTCGTTGACTGCGTTTTCTTTCGTCTTTTCCTTAAGCTGACAAGCATATACTTTGTTGAAGACAACCTGAGAAAACACTTGCATCCTCCTCTATAATTGACAGTTACAGTTAAAATTAGCATCATTCATACGACACTTTGCGACAAATGACCACACGGCACAAGGTCATACCTTCGTATTGATGAGAGTTGCAAACCCACCTTCTGCAATGAACGAGTACATTTCATTTTCTGAGGTTGGTAATACAATGGGGATCTCGGTCACCTTTCCAGCAGCATAATAACCGTTAAATCTCTTGACTGTATAAGTATAACCAACAAAGCCATGCAAAGTTAGAAGAACGGGAGATGTATCCACGCCGTATTGTTGATGCAAAGCACTCATAATGGATTTATTTAAGCGAGTTGCTTTCAGTGTCTGGATGGAAAGCGTGTTGTCATTTGCGGCTGATGGCTTGGCTTCGAATACAGCGAGGTTATGCCGACATTCTTTCCTCCTTAGATCTGTCGTCTTGCATTGGAATAAGAGGTCAACTTTCCTGCCTCTCAAGTTATAGTCATTTAAAGCAAAATCCCACTCAGCTTTCTGCCTGTCCTGCTTGCTCTCAATGAGACCTGGCTCACCCCTGAGTAAAAATAATGAAGTCAGCACCAAATAAAACATGTATCCACATGAAGTGTTTCATTCCATCTCCAACATACGTACGTTCATATCCCAACGTCTTTCTCACCGAACAAAAGGTGAAAAATGCTCTCCCAAACGCCTACATATTGGTCTTCTAAAAGTTCCCTTGTCCACATACAATTATAAATTATTTTACACCTGTATTGTAAGCGGGGTACGATGAGAGATAATTAATATTGATTAGATTTGATATGACTAAAAAGAATGAAAAAAAAAATGGATGGATAATAGGGATGGATGGATGGATGGATGGATGTACTTACAGGTAAAGGATCACATCAATACATCTGGAACGCTCACTATTTTCGTCATTGGTGACAATAAACTCCTTGAACTGGTCTGCACAGTACACCTTTAGCTTCTTGTAATCTCGGTCGGGCCCCATTGCGTTAAGGAGATCATTTATCAAGGATTTTGTGTCATCGGATGGCAATGTAAAATCTTCTTCGAAGCAAGCTTTTTTTGCCGCTTCAAATTCTTTAAAATGCCGCATCTCATTATCCATTGTATTCAAGATCCCTGAAAGTGCCACCCTAATTAAGGGAAATTAATAAAAGCCATATCAGAACGAAGCTATATTAATAGAGTATATCAAGAGCTATCATTACACTAACATACATTGTCGACTTTCTTTCTAGTTCGGAAATTGCCCGCCAGCGAGAAATATTTGTAGATGCATAGTCGCGTAATTCTTTGGTGGTTCCGGACAAGGCTGACAAGGCTGACGAAGGCACAACAGAAACGGCCCGAACATTATGGTTGTACTACACAATAGAACAACTAACGTAAGAGCACTGAAGAAATACCTTGGTAACTGTGAAATAAAATAAAACTTACTAGCCGATAAAGCTGAGCAATCAGATCACCAAATGGCGACTCGACGGGTATCGGCTGAAGATCGTCATCGTCATCGTCATCATTATCGTCATCTTCTATGGGCCTTGGATCTGGTGGAACCGGTGTAATAAAAAATTTTTAGAAATGAATCTTATATATGATATTAAGAAAATAGTAAAATTAATAATAATAATAATAATAATAACAGTACCTCCATTTTCGTCCCAGCGTTCCTCGTCGATATCAACGTAAGCTTTTTTTGCCCACGCTCGTTCTAGTCCTACTCCGTAGTTTATTGCTCCTTCGTGTTCACTGTTAAGAAAGCTAGCAATTATCTCTTGCCAGTCATTATGCGCCTGTATTTTTGTATATCCAACAACGTTTGAAGAAATCTTGGTACTTGACATCGGTAAGACGTCTGCAGGTTTGAACAAATGCCTTTGTGTGAAATCCCTTCACCAGTCCTTTCCACTTGCCCCTCTTTGACTCAGAGCGGCGCATGATGACAGGCAGTCTATTGCAGTTTTTGAAGGAAACAATGTGAATGGGTACGCTCACAGTCAAAGAAGGCTTGCTAAAGCGTTATTGACTATCCTGGGTCTCCAAGCAGGCAAGCACCTTTAGACTCTAGCATAGCGAATCTTCGAGTGGTGTTGAACCAGGTATAACCTGATCAACAGCGTGATGGAATAGCAGGATTGAGCTTCAACACGGTTCAAGAAGGCTCTGCTCGAGCGTTATGAACACTCCAAAGCCTCAAAGCAGGCTACCACTACCGGACTCTAGCGTAACGAATCCTCATGGTGTTGAATGATTAACACCCAACGCGCGTGATTGAGGACAGTGTAGTCAAACCCAAGAAAGTGCAACAGGCGGTGGAATATATTAAGGGGTGGGGCTGTGATAGGACATGATGACAGGAATCAATGTGAATGGGTACGCTCACAGTCAAAGAAGGCTTGCTAAAGCGTTATTGACTATCCTGGGTCTCCAAGCAGGCAACCACCTTTAGACTCTAGCATAGCGAATCTTCGAGTGGTGTTGAACCAGGTATAACCTGATCAACAGCGTGATGGAATAGCAGGATTGAGCTTCAACACGGTTCAAGAAGGCTCTGCTCGAGCGTTATGAACACTCCAAAGCCTCAAAGCAGGCTACCACTACCGGACTCTAGCGTAACGAATCCTCATGGTGTTGAATGATTAACACCCAACGCGCGTGATTGAGGACAGTGTAGTCAAACCCAAGAAAGTGCAACAGGCGGTGGAATATATTAAGGGGTGGGTTCTCAGAAAGGACATGAAAAAAATTGCGTTTCACATAATGTGTTCTAGAAGGAAAGAGACCTACGAATAGATCCAAGATAAGCAAAGATCACCAAACACGACCATCAGGTAAATACTCCATAATTAAAGATGTAATCAATGTTCAATGTTTGAGATAAAGCCATCACCGTACATACCTAATGAGAGAATGAACGAGAGTGGTGGGAGAGTGGGAGAGAGAGATGATTGAGAGAAGTGATTGAAAGAAGTGGGCAGGAAAAAAAACAAAAAAAGGCAAGCCACGCATGCCTTGCGTCATCATTTTATTTTTGGAACAAGTGTCCTTTTGGAACAGCCGAAAAATAAGGTTCGGTATTTCACACGCTGTCATCACCAGTGTTAAAGAAGTGCTTGTTACTATCCTTCAAAGAAAGATGGTACCATACCTATCAAATGTACGGTAGAAGATGACAAAATGCACCAAATAAAAAAAGAATGAAAAGAATCCGTTCAGTATTTATTGAGATAGCGTCTAAAATTTTAACAAAGTTGGGTGCTTTTAAGGACTTTACAGCCTACTGGAGTGCTAGGAAGCAGGCACCACTGGAATGGCCAATAGAGAAGCTTATTATCTTCGGTTTAAAGTGACTCTTAAGAGGACTCACTCAGTATCTATGTAGTAGCACCTGTATAAAGCCAGAAAAAACCAAATTTATGCCAATTTGACACACTCAACGGGCTATTATGCCGGGATCTTGAGAGGTAGAGCCTAGCCAAAGCAGAGAGTGGTTCAAGTTGCCAACATTTATTATATGAATGTTGTTTGTCGACATTTCATTCAGTGGTTCTTGAGTAATGGCCCTTGAATATCGAAAAATCTCTATTTCTCGCGACCAAGTCGCTTTTACTTAAAGTAAACTGATTTTTCTGGCTATATAACCGGTGGTGATTTTACCACCGTTGGATCCGCAATTGAAAAGTACATATAACCTGAAAGTCTTGAAGATTTCAAGTGTATCTTTATTGCGCTTCGTCGTTTTTACCAAGTTCTGCAAAACTAATTTTGAAATGGCGTCTAGATTGGTCAGGTACTCTATCTTGTTGCACTTGGCACATTACTACGGGTATTTACTTTCGTCAAAAAATGCAAAACTATATATTGAAAGTTGCGCTCCGGTACCAGTTATCGACCCCAGGTCGAAGCAATCCAATTGGGTCTGAAATGAGCGACTTTACCTATAGCACCATGGATATCTACATGGCTTTTTTTTTTAAAATATCTACATGGCTTTTTTGTACAAAAAAACAATTGTTGTCATGTGATTAGATGTCATTTGTCTGCTTAATAGGGCGTATTTCATGAAGATAAATTTATTTGGGTGAATCTATTTGACAACCCGGGGGACGGGGCTTAGAATTCCGAATAGAGGGGGTGTTCGCGGGGGTGTTTTAGAAATTTTCAACCGGGGGTCAAAATTCAATTTGACGGGGGGGTGCATTTTTCCTTTATTCATAATATTTAGCAACTGGGCTGCCAAATAGATTAATTCCTAAAGTTTAAGGACGAAGTTATTAGTACGATACCCGTGTAAATTATTTTTCGCTTATAAAAAAAACTATTTGCAGGGTCTTCATTCATCTGCAGCCGTACTGTTTATCCCACAGAATACATGATTCTAGTTTTTTATTTCGGTTTATTTCTTTACTCCTTTTAACGCGTGTTACGACTGCTCATTGCTGGAGCCTCTATTTTTATTTGATTTGCAGTAGCACATGCGCAACAGCTAGTGCGATTAATGGTACGTCTTTTATAGTCCTCAATCTCTTCCCAGTCGTATGACCAGCCGCTAATTATTTCCTCAGTGTAAAAGTCAAGGTAGTATTCTAGGGGATCTAAGGGTGTAATAAAGGTGTCTTTATTCAGGGGAACTTGTGCTGCAGAACTAGATAGAAAAGTGAGCCTATTTATACTAGCTAACGTCCTGCGCAAGGAATGCTCTAGAAAATTGGGCGAAATACTATGTTGTACAAAATTATAATAGTAATTTCGCTTGCACTCAGGCATAAAATAACTTGGTTCGATAGGACTTAGACTCAAGGAGCCAGTGCTACTTTTAGCTCTCTTAGCTTTACGATCGGTGTCATCAACATCATCACGTTCTCTAATGGACTTGAGATACTCGGTCCCTTCGTCTGCCGTCAAATGCCGTGTGTCATCAGGCACATAATCCCTGAATGCTTTGATAAAGCAAAATAACGGTTATTAAGATTTGATTTGTACGATTGACCAAACCCATAAAATACATTGTCAATCAAAAATATACACGTTACCTTAATTTCGCCTGTGAGTTTTACGTACCGAGGCTTGGGAGTGCACCTCAGGTGCACTTCCATTTTTATTCATAAGGTCAGAATATTATGTGACGGTCATTGAGAGTCCTTAATAAAAGGCTCTCGTTTGACAACAATAATAAAAACAACTTTGATCTCCTTGACTCATCAGACGCGAAAAAATCTCGGTGAGTATGCTCATGAGCCGAATACGGTACTTGAGAGGGTACGCGGGACATGGCCATTCGGCATACTTATTTATATATTGCTCAATAGCAATAGCGGCCATTACCCCGCAGGAAAACGCGTCTTGTTGTGGAGGGACAGGAAACGTCACGATGTTCTTCAAAGCACGGCACCATTTCGGGAGATCTTCTTTTGGAAAGCCCAGTCGCTCTATCAGTTCGCCAATCGTCTCCTTAGGTGTCCTCTGGCCTAATGAGTCTCCAAAGCCGATACTGTGAGCCTTGAGGTCGATATAAACCACACCCCTATGTATACAATGGCGAACACTTTTTCAGTCTTTTTGCTGGCAATATGCTTTTTTGTAGCTGAAGCTATAGCGGCACCCCATCTCCATGAAGGGGGAATAAAAACGTATTTTCCTCCGTTTCCGTAGCCACGAGAGAAAAAAGTCAGTATCGCCTTGATCGCTTCGTCGTCCAGCCAGTTCTCTCCACTAAGTGACATCAAGGAACGGAGAGTGATGTTCGCCTCAACATTGTAGTCTGCATGGAAGGTCTTTTCATAAATGTTGTCCTCCACAGTCAGAATAGAATATAGCCGATCCGCAAAAGAGGCATTGACGCTATGTACGACGTTTTTGACCCATTTTTGCATTCGTTGGAGATCCTCGCCAAATTTCTTGTTGTTGATCACCTTATTAATTAATGGCGATAGAAATTGTTAACAAACGGTTTCTCGCCATTCTAAACCTTAAAAGTTCTTGTTTGAATAATATATGTACATACTTGGAAAATCATGCGTAGGGTTTCCGGTAGCATGTAATAGTTTATCTCAGGGAAGTCGACGAGGACATTGTTATCATAAGCGTTCAGTGTCTGAAGGGCTTCAGATAGCCACTCCGTTGTCGGAAACATGTCAACAGCGTGGATGTCGTTCGGATTGACTATTTTCAGGCTCGTAACTATATCCCCGGCATGGAGCTGAATTATGGTAGCTTTACTTGTCTCGACTAGGGGGGGGGGGGGGGGGGTAAATGGGACAATGGCAAGACTAAGCTATTTCCAGTCTGACCTTTGCACCATTTATTGCTTAAGACCTACGGGGCGTATGGAGTATTCATGTTTGATAGTGATATAAATGGAGATTCTGTGCAGGAAAATATGATGGCGAATGAGTGATGTGTACCTAGAATGCTTAGAAACGTTGAAAATAAGGATAAAGTGGTTCGTTTCATAGTACCATGTAGATGAATGTAATATCTCCATGTTAAATGTTTTTTAGATTTTTGCTCTGTATTTGTGTTACAACTTACATGCATTCAACATCTCGTGCATTACCGCGCCTCATGGTTCCCACAGCACCTCATGGCTTCAGTGTGTCTCACACCCTCAGAATGACTGGTAAAAGAGTAGTGAAGTTCGACGGGAGAGCTTGCGGGCGAACTCTATGAAACATTGTTGGAAGATATCGTGAAAGTGTATGTTGAAGAGGTGTTAACGAAAATATGAAGTCTCTTGGAGTTTGGTTGAAAGTGTGAGAATAGTGAAAGGAAGAATGGAGGAATGAAAACTGAATGGCAAACAATTTATGTCCCCAATCGTCCATCCATCAACATCTTTTTTCTTCATTCTCATTCGTTTCTGACATTACTAATCCACATGATCTCACTCGACCAATTAACATCTGCGAATTGCAATGGTGACTCACAGCGTCACGATCCCTACCAATCATCAATGTCTCTTCCTACATGTGATCTATAAAAAAATATAAAAAAAAAATAAAAAAGAAGAAGAAGAGGGAGAAATAATTATCTCTAAGCAATCAGCATTTTTTTCCCAGCATAGCCTCATTTGCTCTGTACCTGAACCACGAACTCATGCTTCGTTCTCTGATCACACGTGCAAATGTACACGTACAAAAGGATAACATTTTTTACATTTTATATATAAAAAATGAATGAATAAATACTCGGATAATGTGGTTATTCAATTCTCACTTATCTTACAATTTCCGGTTATTATTTTCCATGTAGCTTTAACTGAGATGCCAAGATATTCATGCAACAATGACACTAATCTTGCCAAAAAGTGATACAAATGTATCCTTAAAGTCGAAAAAACAGAAAATTCACGGACTCTCCCTTTTACTGTATATTTGTTTATGACTTTGGTTAGGACTCTAGATCATGTGCACATTTATAAATATTTTGTGGTGCAACAAATTTTTTTGCGTTCCTTAACGCAACATATTTTTTGCGGCCCAACGCAACCAGCATGTAGTATCACGTGGTTGCATATTTCGAGAAAAAAGCAGTGGAAGCTTGTTGCTCTCTTTGGTTAATCCTTTTCAATTATAAGAATTTTGTTAAGTTAACCATTTATATTTGACCTTCTGATATTTAAAGTCCTCGCCAAAAAGCCAATTGGATATTGACGTGTCATGTACATCTCTTCCGTCTAAAAACGGGAGGTGTTGTATTCAATTTAAAAATGAGAGAAATATCTTGGTGGCGACTTTTGGCGGGGACAAGTAAACAAAAATGTATTTCATGTTTTTGAATTGGATAGAATTCTTTTTTGACCACAATGTTTCCTCCTCAGACTCAAAAAAATAAATGAAGTTCAAGTTCGTAGCGTGGGTTTTCTGTTTTCCGACTCAATTCAAATTGAGTATTTTAAGAATATTCATATACTATATGGATGTATATATATATTTATATATGTATTTTTTTATGACTTTTGGCGAAGACTTTAAATATATTACTCAAATGGCGCTGAAAATATTCTTTCTTTTTCTTTTTCAAAAAAAATAAAAATCCCACATTTTTCCATTACAATGCCAAAATTACCCAAGTCTTGCACATTACACCACTGCACGTTAAGCTCTGATTCAGAGACCTTGACCCCCAAAGAAAAAAACAGACATGTTAGAGAATATCATTTTAAGACAGCAATCTATGAAGACCATGACACTGGTGCCATCATTGAGTGCACTCGGGACGAATCAAAAGAATCAAAATTCCACTGCATTTGCGAAAGTTCATACAAAGTCCACTCATCCTTCATACGACACCTTCAGAATAAGGAATGTGAGCACCTAAATGATTTCGTTCAAAGGAAAGAAGCATTCAAGGACGATTACTTTGTACTGAGATATAAACCAGATAGAAGGACAGCCTCCAGCGGTGATGAGAGCGATAGCAAAGCGATTAAAGAAGTAAAAGAAATGCTTCAGTCCATAGAAAAGACGGTATTAGAAGTCTACTCTCTCGCGAAAGAAAATCAAGGTATATAAATGTGTATAGATATATATATTTTATATCAGTGATTGATGGTCCAAGTAAATCTAATACGTGCTTTTAAATATATAAAGCTAGAAACGAAATCATCAGAGCTGAATACGAAGGTTTGTAGTCGCTAGCAATCATAAATAGTCTCCACCTACATAAAACTGTCAAGAACAAGAGACAACATAACATTGTCATTGATTGTTTAATAACGCTCTGTACCTTTATTTTATAATATGAATATAGACCTCGCAAAAACAGTCGGCTGTCTACGAACCAGTTTTACAGTGTTGGAAAGAAGAATCTCTTGTTCTCTAAATCCTGACGAATCAATGAAGTAAGAATCCAAGTTTTTTTCTCTTTTGATTGTGACTTTTTAAGTATGAATGGTTTCCTTAACTAACAAGTGTCTTGTAATTGAAAAGATATAGGCATAAAAAAAACAAACAGACCCAAGGCGCCGGTACTTCTGGAGGTCCTCGAGAAGCCAAGGCTGTAGAGTCTACACCGAGTCTGCTCAATTATTTTGTGACATCGAAGCCAATGAACGAAAAGAGTGATGTGAAGGGAAAGGTTATTTTGAAGGGAAAGGGTAATTTGAAGGGAAAGGGTATTGTGAAGGAAGAGAGCGATGAGGAGTATCAATTCTTCATGATGAGTGACCTGGGGGAGGATCTGAGCGAGGATGAAGGAAATAACAATGCATGAATTGTGGTTAATACAAAAAGTGTTGGGCTATGTATCGTCTACATACATGTATATAACATATATATTTCTATTCAAAAACTTTCAGCGAAATATCAATAAATATATATATATATATCATATGAATACATTAATTTTTATGTAACAAGTGCTGTGAAAAATGAACACCTCCACCGAAATCAACACGACCAATGAAAGCTTTAGTGGATATTGCATGAAAAGTTTATGCCAGACAATGGTACAGGAATAAAAGTAAGAAAAGATGTAGACCCGCGCTGGGATATCAATTCATTTTTTGTCAAAAGAGGAGCACAAAATATCTTCATGTTATACTAGAGAGCACCTTGGGTCAGCTATGTGTCGCCATGTATAAGCATATGGAGTGAGCACGGAGTGATCCATTGAGAACAGGCTGTAGCTTTGTCTGAAGTGGTCAAGATGGCCAGCTAACATATTTTATTAAGTTAGAAGAGGGTATTTTTTAGAAAGCAACAGCACATGTGTCAGCCATCCGAAAAAAAAGTTTGGTCAACATGGGTTACTTCTAATTTTTTTATTTTTTTTTTATTTTGAACCTCTGACAAACAGCTCATATGCGACATGCAAAGATATTGTCAATGAGGCCAATGTGGATGATCACTAAAGTCTTTGGGTAGTACATGCTGAGGGAAAACGGCAAGAAATAAGATTGAAGACAGTGCTTCTCTTCAAGATTTTATTTTTTGACCAAACTTTCTTTAAGGTGATTGTACAAAATGAAGCGAGTAGTGAGCATCTACATGTGCTGCTGTGTGCTAAAGACGACCCAAGGCAAGTTTTGGCTATTTTATTGGTGAAAAATCAACATGATATATAATTAACTTGGAATGTAATGAGACAAAAATAAGGATCTTTATCAACGTAACATTAGTCACGGTTGTGCTATTAAAGTATTTTAGCTATTTAGATATAGGGATATAGGTAATTGTGGCACGATCGGCTTTGAGTGCGAACTGCCACCAACTATCAAAAGATAAGTAATCTCTCAGGTTACAAACGGGTAAAAAACTGAGGTCTACCCATATTGTATTTTAGTGAATTTGATAAACAGAATTTATTACCGAGGGCACTTGAGCTCTTAATAAAGAAGAACAGAGATAAGGACTTATAAGAGAGAGAAAAGAAAGAGAGTGGTAACACGGCACGCTATGCATCGAAGCAATGAGTATGATAGTATGATTGTTTGTATATCTGCCGAAACAGACTACACATTAGAGGTTCCTAATCCTGAACTCATCATTGTGTGCTTAATAGTGTACAGTAGTACTAAAGATGTATGCACGCGCTAAATGAAAGAAAGCATCGGGGAACCATGCACAATCTATAACAACACAACCAACAAAAGTGCAAAGTAGAGCGGCATAGTATATTTCAATTATAGATAAATCATCTGTAATTCTGTATTTGGTCCCAGAGTCGCATAAAGGATGCCAACATCTACTCTGAGCTACGTACGAACTTGATAAGATAAATATTATGATCAGTATTTGATATTTAGGTATCGGCTCTGGATCTAAGCTTGTGCCGTGGAAGGCTTCCTGGTAATGGTATTTAAGACCGGAATAAAGACCCCGTACAAATAAAAAAGAAAGATCCCCGTGCAAATGAGCTTTCAAAAGCAAAAGATATCCGAAAACCCGGATTTGAACCAGGGACCTAGAGATGACAGACAAACTACAGTCTCCCGCTCTACCAACTGAGCTATTTTCGGAACTTGTTATGGGCTCCGTTATCTAGTAAGTTATAATACTATAAATATCACGTGATAAAGTGCGCAGTTTGTATTCGAAGAACTAGGGCCTTAAACAATGGAATGTTCGGGATATTTTTTTTCACACGGGCGTACTGCGTCCTTCTCAATTCGTATCCTTTTTTTTTTCACTCAACATTTTATTCAACAACCCGACGTAAAGGTTTTATACACGTCTAGCAACAGTGCAGCTCTCTCTTGCAAGAGCTTGCTTCGAGATGTGTCAACATCGACTACATCCAGTTCCTTAAGGACCTTTTGGAGTTGTCTCCCTGCCATCTCTTGTGTTGACTCTTGGCGGCTACTCGACGCCTTCGTCATATCTTCAGTCGCGGTTGCCACTGAAGTAACAGCAACCTGCGGTGGACTCCGCGAGGCTGCTGCTGATGCTTCAAGTCGTTGCCAGTCGGCTTCCTTGACAAGCATTAGCTTGCGACGCTTCAGTTGCTTGAACAAGGACGGTTCGTGTACCAAAATTGTCACGCTTTATTTGCTTCCCCGACAGTTCGACTTTTGGTCCTCCCTCTAAGTAGAGGTACTTGCGAGGTCTTACCTCGTCCCCGTCTTGATAGAGTGCACTTTCTGTCCGTTCCGTGAAATTGCACAATTCACTCTCCAGAAAGAGCTTCTTGATCTTGTCCGCTTTTCTGGTAGGACGTTCCCATGGCACATAGGTGAACGCTGGGTCATTAGGTGGACCATCTGGGGAAGGCGAGGTCTCCTGACGTGCACCCTCATCCAACTCCTCACGAACGCGTTTTTTACCAGCAACCTGGTTGGGGACAGAGGAGGCAGTGTTATTGGAGGAAGACATAATGCAAGCGAGAAAATGATATTTGTAAGCTTGGTTGTGTGGTGAAGGAAATTTGAGTACAAACGAAGTTGGGGAATGGGGAAATGAGAAGTGAAATGTACCTCATTCGATGGTCGCCATTGTTATTCTCATTGTCTTTGCTGATTCATTCCTGACATTACTAATCTTTTCCATGGCGTGATTGTTGTTGATCCAATCATTTACACGATAACCTTAAAGTGCCACTAACTGCAACCAATCATCCTTCGAAATACTCAGTACGTGGCTTTCTAACATTGTGTACCTGAGCATTTTAATGCTGCAGCTTCATATGCGAAGACTTCAATGGCTTCTTATCCATCCTCGTCATCGTCAGGGACACTCCGGGCTGTGGAATTGCCATTTTCTGTCGTTAACAGCTCTATTTGCGAAAGGAGGTTCTTGCCTAGCACTAGGCCTTTACGATTCTTATGAAGACATCCGTGTCCATAAACTGCAATGGCACAAGTTTTAGCACACCGATGGCCATAGAGGATTATTGATGTATTTTTTTATTATTTATTTTGTAGAAAGGAAAAAAAAAAAAAAAAAAAAAAAAAAAAAAAAAAACTTCTTTCTATACCTTGTTCTTTTTTTTTCTTCCGACTCTCCCATCAAGTTACTTCATAACAACAGTCTGGCTTTTTATCATCGTGTCACTATGTCTACTATGACATCTAGTTTACTTATCCATATTACCTTTAGCGTATCCTTGTAACGCGTCAAGTAAGGACGGCTTACGATGATTGTGCCTGCGTATTCTCCTCCTGGTCTCCTTCTTTCGTAACACCTTTTTCTTTCGCCTCCATTTCAAGACGAAGTGAATTCATGGTACGCCCTTTGCTGGCTTCTGAGAGCGCTTTCACGAACTCGTCGATGCGCTGGTCCCTCCTTTTCGCCTCCCTCCTGATGAGCTCAATAAGCTGGTGACGGCGCCTATAGGCTTTCCGACGGGCTGGAGTGAAAGGCCATGCCTTATCTTGAAGGATGGCAACTTTCACTGGACCATAGAACTCGTCCCAAGCCTGTTGAACTGTCAAACAGGTATCAGGTAGCATAATGTAACCCTTGCTCCTATCATCACCCTGTGGCACCTCTGACTGCTGTTCTGCAGACTGTGATAGGACTGAAGGCTGCGGCGAGGACTGAGGGCGAGGGCGTGGCCATTGTGGGGATTGTGATGACGATTGCTGGTTTTGTAAAAAGACTTGAGGCGATCGAGCCATCAGCTGATGGAGCTCCAAGTTGAACGTATCATTCATCGCCGATAATTGCGACTGAGCCTGGCGCTCTTTGGATAATTCTTCTTGCTGTTGCATCATACGGTTAATCTGGGCCGAGATACCTCGGATAACCTTGTCTTGTTGTTGTTCGATGCGGCTGATACGGCCGATGAGTGAATTGAGTCCACTGTTGAGTGAATTGAGTCCACTGTTGAGTGAATTGAGTCCACTGTTGAGTGAATTGAGTCCACTGTTGAGTGAATTGAACCCTTGCACCACGGTATCGCGATTAACCAAAACGTGAGGTTCGATGAGATCGGGGCGTTTGGAATATTCATCCATAGCTCGGATAAGATCAGCCTGGAATTTAATAAACATCGGGTTCTTGAAGACGTCCAGAGAAGCGAGAAGGTTATTGGTCAAAGATCGGCCGGCTTCATCAGTCCTCATGTAAAGGACGGCATCCTGAAGGATCACGCGCCTCATACGAACAAGGAGTTTAAGGAAAGCAATGCGGTTTACCAAAACAGTATCGTAGATTCTGGAAGTTCCGACAGTTGCTGCAGATTCTCGAGGTGGGATCGAATGGAGGTCTTCTGCTGTGCAGACATTTGGGTCCAACCCCTCCATCTCTTGGTCGCATTCCTTGATCCAGGACTGTGTCTTCTGAGGCATGTCTGTTTTAAAATTATCCTCAATCCACGGGAAGATAAGGCGCTGAAGGGCGAGAGGTGGAGTGACAAGATCGCGTTCAATGAAGTATGGCTCATCTATCTTGTTAAAATGAGCCATATAAAACGCGCCGGTAATTGGAATCATTGGTGCATAAAACGCTTGCATTTGTCCTGTCTTCCAACGGCCAAGATGAAGCACATGGTTCACATCTAGTCTTAGATGGTATGCTTCTGTTGTGCCAGCATGACGACCTGCGTGTGTCTTTTTATTCGAATACACCTGACAGCGACTCATGACTGTAGTAGCACAATGTATCTGGGTTTTGAATGACATAGGGATATTTCGCTTGTGAATGATATCAGGATCTGGGGCGCCAACAGTAAGGAGCTTGATGTCGTACCATTCTTCAGTATTTGAGAAGTCAGGAACCGGTTCCTTCAATGTCTTTTTTTAAGAGAGAAAAAAAAAGGAGTGTTATAAGGATGCATTTTTTTTTTTTTTTTTTTTTTTTTTTTTACTTTAGCACATCCAAATCAATATCATACCTCAAATCGCTCCAGCATCCAGAATGCAAATGCTGCAACAGTACATCGGAGGAAGTTCCTATGACGGAATGCAACTGCAAAAGTGTTGTCGCCTTGATGATTCGTCTTTCCGTACGTCAGACAGAACACGAGTCCCAAAGCCAAGGATGATCCTTGTACAGGATGTCATTCTAGGATACTGAAAATACTGGAAAGGTTTAAATTACGAAGATCTTCATCACGAAGCAACATGTGGTGCCGTGCTAGAAGACAGAAGTGTTCTCGGAGGTATGGAAATCGTTTGACATTGTTGTATGAGCGTGGACCTTTCTGTGGGCACCGAGGAATCATTCGCCATGTAAAAGAAATCATCCGAATGAATTCTTGCTCTGTGTAAGGGTTGCGCGAAGTAGTTGTTGCTGTTCGAATAGAACTGGTTCTTTCTCTGTTAAAAACCAGGGTCTCTTTATATTTTGCGATAAGGTTCTTTAGAACAACATCCTTTCGAGGGTTGGGTGCAGGATTAGGATAAGGAGCTGTGTGCTCATTTTGATGTTCCCACAGGTACACAAGAGCCCTCAGGGTACAGTCTACTGTCGACATTCCAATAGGAACCTCTATTTCTTTGCATGCGTTCCCGTACCGATCAGTTCTGAACTCGGACTTGGACTGCTGAATGACTGAACTTAAAGCTGTCATTTCACAATGTTTGCAAAAAAATAAAAAAATAAAAAAATAAATAAAAAAATAAAAAAATAAATAAAAAAAAAAAAGAAGACAACATTGTCTATTTACCTTTTCCTGCTCTACCAATGGTAGCTGCCATAGAGTGCTCAGCACCATCTTGTCCCTCGTCTTCATCATCAGTATCATTATCATCTGATGGATCTTCGGCTTGTGCTTTTGATGATGCAGGTTGAGCTGTGAATTCCAAAGCGCGTGAAACAGCCCATTTTGTCAAATCCTCGTTAGGAGGTGGTGAGGAAGGTACCCAGAGTGATCCTGCATTGGGGCCCGGCATCTCGTCTGTGTCCACTTGCGGTACTATGCTCACTGGTCCCATGTAGCTAGTATTCACACCGACGTATTTTTTCGTCGTTCGCATGAATGTTACTTCGTTGAAAAACTCAACCATCCGAGCAGCATTAACAGTATAGTCTACAGTATCGCTGCCTTCATGAGCCTTGTTATCCCAGTATTGCTTTTATTTTATAGGGTTGTAGAGTCATATAGGTCATTTAAGGAGGGAGAAAAAAAAATCAGCCATTCTTGTCATATATCATTATCAAATAAAATATGCAGAGATGTATTTTACCTGCCATTGTCTTATGTACACCTTGTATATGGTAAGCGTTTTATCCGCGGCGGTCGATGGTTTATTCAGGAGTTGTTCAAGAATAAACTTAGCCGAGCCTCTTCGAGCAACTACAACTTGCTCCTCAGTCATGAAGGCCATGGGAATTGATGTTGAGTTGGCGGCAGGTACAGGTACAGGTACAGGTACAGATTCCTTGGACCTCAGTCGTGCGCGTTTAAAATGGGAGACTCGGCCAAAATCGTCCGTATTTGTGAGCCTCTTTTTAAACTGCGGGGTAGCGGTCTGTGTTGTCGATGACTCGGCCACTTGGGTTGGTTTCTGTCGTGTAATTGTCTTTTTTTGTTGAGGTTGCTCTCTCGTTTTTTTTGGCGAGTCGATGGGGAACGTGGTTTTCATCGACTCGAATTGTTGATTTGTTTCTGTCTTTGAATTGTGAATGGGCATGGTTGAGAATAAGGTGGGGTGTAAGCGTGAAGTAGGATATAAACGATGACAATAAGAATCAGATGAATGAGTAACTAAAAAAAAAAGAGTTAAGGAAATGAGGAGTAATGAGGACTGAAAATGCAATTTTTTTTTCCTATGATAAAGAAACACAAGTCTAAATAGGGTCCATGTGGTCAAATTTGGAGACACACCACTATTGTGTCCATCACTGAAACATAGTCGCTCTAAGAGGCAACGATCACGTGTGGTATATCATTTACTCTCATAATGAATATCTTGTTATCAAAAAGAAAGAAAAAAAAAAAAAAAAAAAAAAAGTCTCCAATAAAGCCCCATTAGTGCACGTAAGAACATGTACGCATTACTGGCATCCCTAGTAACCCAAGAAATTATTTATAAAGTTCAGTGTTGATAAATCAGCTTCAAAAAGAGTAGGGGAAGGCTTTGTTCGAGGTTACCAGATCGGACTTCGTGACAATTACGCTCACTATATAAGAAAGCAATATACATTTTACTGCCCAAGGCTTTTTTTTTCGTGACAATACTCTTAGCTTCATAAGATGCTCCGAGGGCACAATAGTAGCCGTAGGGACGGGGCCAGCAACCTACTATATGCTTTGATTTATACACTTGTCAGACCAAGCTATTTAGGACTTTGTTCCTGAACCTTCGGATAAAAGCTTATGTGAGCATGCACGTCATCTGTCCGGCCTTCGGATATCTGAGAAATACTTCACCCTTTTTTTCTGAGGCGTAATTTTTTTTTTTTGACCCCGATGTGATATTTTCCCTCACCATCCCCCTTCTCTTCTCATTCCTCTTCTTCCACCTTCCACAGAATTATTACGGGCTATAAAGGACAGAAAAGTAGGACATTACAGGACAAGGATTCTTTTTTTTTTTTTTTTTTTTTTTTTTTGTTATTTACCAAAATGGCGCCTGTGAGTGCTACGTCATCATCGTCAATATTCAACAAGATCGGATACTGGTCACCCAATACAGCATCTGTGGACTGGTGCGAAAGCAATTATGAAGTCTCATATTACATTGCAGAGTATGTAAAGGATAAAAAAATAAAAGCTGAATGGAAAATGATACATTGTGTGGCTACTGTGAGCGTTAGGGTACTAATGAAAAAAAAAATAATAAAAATATATATATAACTGTTATCACCCCATAGATTCTGGAACACAATCTCCAATCTTCCCAGTCTCTTGTTAGTGATCCTTGGGTATCATCTATTTCCAACAAACGATGGACGGTTCAAACTCTTGTTTTGGGTCTGCGGTACTGTTGCAGTTGGTTCTGCCCTATTTCATGGCACGCTGCGACATAAAATGCAGCTTCTTGGTATGAAATGGAAAAACACATTCTTTAGGCTGGAGTCATGTTATCATTCTTTTATATACTTTCATTGCAAGTCTGACCCGTCAAGTGTTTTTATTTTTATTTTTTATAAATTATAATATAGATGAGTTACCCATGTTGTATTCTGCCACGATTATTCTATACATCCTCGTAGAAACCAAGCATGGTCGTCAAGGACCTTGGTTCCCTGCCCTGTTGACGGTGTGGATTTGTAAGAGGCATTAAGAAAAAAAAAAAAAAAGAGTTCATTTGTTTATCTGCTAAAGAAAAAAGATTTTCCGCGCCACTAATGTCCTTCCATAGCCTTGACAACGTTCATATTTTCAACTGCCAGTGGCAAGATCCAGTTCTATACCTTCCAATCGACTTATACGATCCTGCAATTCTGCATGATCTACTATCTTCGCGTTCTGCATGTCCAACAAAGCGCAAAGCATCAATCATCCATCTCGACTGCGAACAGTAATGTTACCTCCACCAGTTCCAATACTTATACTTCCCGTCAAACGAAGGTAAATTACAGTTCCTATAAGCAACCGTCGCCATCGCCCTCTCTGAGACCACAAGCCATGGCGGATGTCAAGATTTTGATTCGCCGGGCACTTGGATTTGGGGCTCTAGCAGTCTCGATCTGGCTGGTTGACTTGCGTCTTTGCGAGTTTATTAACGGCAAAGGAGCACAGTCACTGTTGAAATGGAACCCGCAGCTTCATGCATGGTGGCATGTGTTCTCAGCCGTTGCTATGTATCATGCTGCGCTGCTCGTTAGCTTTTATCATTATGATGTACTGGAAAGAAGTCCAGCCGTGTATCATTGGAAGGGTGTCGTGCCTGCCATCCGTCTTGGATCGAAGTTGAAACCGAGAGAGCGTTAATAAACGAAAAAGTCCGTGAATATAAAGATATGTGCTTGTGTAGACTATTTGTTAATTTGCGCAGCAAAAAAAAAAAAAAAACCGTTGCACATGGTTCAAGTTGAATATGGTTATATACCCCTGCATGCATTGTTGCGGAAAAAGTGTTTTTGCCGGTGAAATAACACGATCATAATTACATGTCTTCTAAAATGCACAGAAAAAAATATTAAGAAGGAGCTGTCGTAGTTTTTCTATTTGTTTTGTTCGGACAAAAAGGATGTTTACATGCTGATAAGACCTCTGTCTGTCTCACTCTAGTTCTATTTCACTCGACCATTTAACGCCAGCCCAGTCCTATTAGTTCTAGTTCTCTCCTCTGTTTTTTATTATCTGATCCACGATCTTACTTGTCTCTGTTTCTTCCTCTCTTCTCTCTCTCTTCCCTCTCTATTGTTCCTTTATCACAGGTCAGATCTGCGCAAGTTGAATCAATTGCATTCATTCACACTGTGAAATAACAAGTCAACAAGTGTTACACACAGACTTCACAGGTTTACACACAAATACGGATGGCGCCTGTAGTATCAGCAGGAGGCTCTTCTGCATTCGATCAACTTGGATATTGGTCTCCTAATACAGCTTCAGTCGATTGGTGTGAAAATAACTATGTGGTCTCCTTTTATATCGCAGAATTCTGGAACACGATCTCGAATGTCGCCTGCTTCATTGCTGCTTTTCTAGGGTATTATTTCTTCCCAGGCCATGAACGTCGGTTTATGCTGTTGTTCTTGACCTTTGCCTTGGTCGGTTTGGGATCTGTGCTCTTCCATGGTACCTTGCAGCACAAAATGCAGCTCCTTGGTAGGTACCTTCTATTCTCTCTTTCTTTTTTTTTTTCTTGTCATTGCAATTTCATATTAACCTCGGTGATTTTTTTGTCCTTAAAAAAACAGATGAGCTACCCATGCTATATTCTGCAACAATAATCCTATTCATCCTAGTTGAGGCCAGACATGGTCCGCAAGGTCGATGGTTCCCTCTTTTACTCACAGCTTGGATTGGTAAAAGCACCTTACAGAGGAAAAAAAAAAGTCTTTTGAACTTTGATAACATAGACTAAAATGGGGTTTTTTTTTTTTTTTTTTTTTTTTTTTAAAAAAAATTGACCGTTAGCAACAACGACGTATATCTTCTCCACAGCGACAGGAAAACTTCAATTTTACACATTCCAGTCAACCTATACTATCCTTCAATTCTGCATGATCTACTTCTTACGGGTCCTTCACGTTCAACAACGACAACAAGGAGGCCTCCTTTATCGCCCCAGCTCTCAAGTCACCGCCCTGATCCGTCGTGCTTTCGTCTCTGCTCTCTTTGCAGTCTCGATCTGGTTGGTTGACCTAAGACTTTGTGAGTTTGTCAACGGCGTCAGCACAACTTCTATCCTCAAATTCAATCCTCAACTTCATGCTTGGTGGCATGTCTTTTCAGCCTGTGCTCTTTATCATGCTACCATGCTCATCGTCTATTATCATTACGCAGTTCATCAACAGCAGCCTTTTGTTGATTATTATAAGGGCATCATCCCTATTATCCGTTTAGGTCTTCCTTCTCGTCCTAGCGAAGGAAAAGGAAAGCGAGTAGACTAGGAAAAAAAAAAAAAGGCTATATATCATCAATTAAAATACACTAATATTTTTTGCCATCGTGATCGGCCTCTTCTACAATATCCAATTTGATTATTATTATTATTATTATTATTAATTAGTTTACGTATACGAAAGTTATTCCTTATACATTTTCGATACTACAGGAATAATATTATAATTAAAGCAAAATAAAATCTTAGCAATGTAGTATATCCGTAACAAAAGAAAAACAAGGGATCTTAGAATGCACTTGAGATAGGTGCCCTCTCTTCTGTTGGTGAAGGGGTGGGCGAATGACCATTGAAATAGAATTGTGAAGAGCGCGATGAAGCTGAGGACGAGACACTGTCAGAAGACGATGTTTGGATCGACCCCCAGGTCCCACAGTTGCGTTCACTAAACCATTGTCTACGCGATACCTCATCTTGAGGCTCACGAGGGAAACGAACTGATGTAGCTGACGCCTCAGAACCGCGTCTCTTCAGTGAAGAGACGTCTGCATCATCCAGAATACGGGGATGGCTCTTGTCCATCAGAACTGACATAGTTCGCTCGCTACGAAGACTAAGATGGCTCACTCGTGACTGGGACATGGTCGAGGCAAAGCTGGGCCGACGACTATATAAACTTTCATTATCCCCCCAGCCAGACAAATCATCACGCGTGTTCCTGAAAGAATTGGATGCCCAGGAGTCAGAATAGGTCAGATCACTACTACCAACACTGAGTGTACCGATTGAGCCTTGTCGACTCTGACGCATAGGATGTCTAGGGGGCCGCGAAGGGATTGAAAGCGAGGCTGCCACACCGACAGGCTCCACAGGAACAGTAGTCATCATCGACATACGATAAGGAACGGCCTTTGGAATATCCTCATAATGGATGTGCTGCTCTTCTTCCTTAAGGTCTGTACCATTGTAAGCAGCATCTGGTTTCCGCAAACGAATCACAGGCGCCTCATTTTGTTCTGAAACGAGCGTGGGGATGCGAGGACTACTGAATGATCCCTGTCTAGAGCCAGGATGGAGCTCAAGACCTGCTTGACTGTCCAATTCCGAAGCCGAGTCGTAATCGTAGCAGTCATAGATACTGTCCGCATACATTGATCGAACCGAGCCCCTCTCAGTTAAATATGAACCTTGACGAGCAAGCACAGCAGGGAACGGCATCATAGGGCCTACTGATGGAGTGTTCGAGGACATTGAGGGTGAAGGAAGAGGAGAGGTAGGCGCAGCAGGAAGTGTCAAAGAACTACTTGACATGCTGCGGAGGCCGTTCGTCTTTTTGTCACCCAAATCGGATGATTGTTGGCTAGATTGCGTGGCTGTATCGAGAGAAGCGTCGACTTGATCATTGACGGCACTCGATCGCGTGGAAAGACCAGAAGCTACGCTCGCTGGGAAGGGGGATCTTTCTAAATCGCTTGCACAGCGGCGGATGGGCGACAATGGACGTACGGTCATCAAAGCAGAAGCCCCGGATTCTGGAATGGCGAGTTCCGCTTGTTCTATTTTGCGCAAGCAATAAATTACTGGGGTCAGTTGTCAATGCAAAAAAAATATTATACTCAAATAGGTCATGATCCATAGATCCGAAGACTCACCATTCGTAGGAAGAGGAGGGAGTTCTTTCTCGGTATTGAGTGGCGCTGCCACGGTCTGTTCAGAGATATCCTTTTGATTAACTTCAGTTTCTGCCAATGGTAAGGAGATACCTAGGCCAAAATGGGAGGACTTTTGGCTTGGAGTAGGACTAGTCTCTGCTTCCTCGGATGTGTTTGTGGCAGAAGTTTGTACCTCGGTTTCACTCTTCTCATTAAGATCATCTTTTTCTGTGCGCTTGAAATTTCGTCTCATGGATGATTGACGAGTCAACACTTGCGCATAAACAATACCTCCAACCGAAGACACGTTAGATGATGTCTCACTCTGGACGGAGGTCCTCGAGGCGAGCCCAGAGGAGGATGTGGTCGACACGTCTTGAATTTCAGTGGCATCCTCAGCTGTTGGGGATTGTGGCGTTTCTTGACTAGCAGTTTCAGCAGTGGTGGGCAAGGGTTCATCCAAATTCTTCAGGCCCGATTGGACTCCCTCATCTGCCTTGATTGGATCCTTCTCCTTTGTGGTCGTGGTTGCTGTCACTGTTTCAGCTGAGGATGCATCGCTAGACGCAAGGGGAGCAACAGTGATGTTCAACATTGCTGCCTCAGCAGGAGTCATTTCAGAAACAGCCCCATTTGATGCCTTGATTGGTTTCTCTGTGCCGGTGCTTTCAGCTGTCTCAGTAATGTCAGTGGTCTCTTCGGCCTCCGCAGAGCTCTGCAAACGCTCAGCAATGGACGCCGCTGGTTTCGTTGTCTTTACGGAAGTCGTTGTAGAGCTTGATGTGGATCGCTCAAGTTTTCTAGTAGAATGAACGCTGATAACGGATTTAGAGGACTTCAACTCATCGGCTCTAGGGTCCATGTCCCATCGAGGGACAAAGAAGGATTCTCCAGAGCCGTCATTCACTTCAATCATCTCGTCTTTGTCAAACGTTCTGCTAGCAAATTTGGCTAATTTTGCCTTCTTTGCAGCTTCTTCATCAGCCCCCTGCTGCGTAGAAGCGGCATCAGCCTCTTGACCATCCTTTCCTTCCTCTTCAGCCTCATACTCCTGTTTATCTCCATCCGCTTGGTCATGACGCTTGAGCAAAGAGGCTCCTCCACTCGCGTTATCACGGGTAGTGTTGCTTCTACGCAATGAGGCGCCCATGGCAGCAAAGCTGTTTCCGCCTTGCTGTTCCTGTGCTAGATACCTTGCTCGGAGATTATCCTCAGAGAAGAACTGAACAGGTCCACGACTACCCTCTTCACCACCTTGCTCGTTTAGCTCACCGTTCTGATCACGTCTCGAATCGCCGCCATGGCCAGGACGATTCAACCTCTTGGCAAGCTTGCTCTTCAACGCTTTAAGTTGCTTCAACCCACCTTTCTTTTCTGCATCGCTCTTAGACCCATGGGCATCCTCACGATCAGAATCATCGTCATGAAAAACACCATTTGCAGCATGGCGGACTGCTTTGCGCATCTTCTGTACCTTCTTTTTGATGCCTTCGCCGCCACTTGTATATTCAGATTTAGCTCCAGCATCTTCGTTGTCCGATTGATCCACAGGGCGAACGATGGGAACGGTTTTGATTTGATTAGTAGTTGACACGAGCTTAGGTTCGCTGATAACAGTGATCTTTTTACGGCGAGATCCCTTTCGGTGGGGCTTTGTCCCATCCGAGTTGCCTCCGGATAGGTTTCCATTACTGATTTTGTTCCGCAATGGTGGATTCATGGCTTTCTCTTGCAAAAACAACGCCTGTTGTTGTTGAATGTACATGATATGAGCGATTTCAGCCTCACGCGAGTTTGGTATCACGGCGCCATTCAGATGGGGTGGCTGTGGCGCAGACCGTGTGGGCGTAAATGGTGTGCCCTCAGGTTTCTGGCGACGATGGTGGCGACGATCAGTATGATCTTCGGGTCCGGAAAGGACATCGCCATCCGTATCATCGTTCACGCCTTCATCCTCATAATCTCCGTCATCCTGATGATCTTGTCCTTGTCCATGCGCACGATCTTTTCCAGAGCCATCCGTATGGTGTGAAGGCACTACGTTCTCCCAGCGATGGTAAGGATGACGGCGGCCAGGGGAGATGGGTGAAGTCATTGACTGTGGAGAGAGAGCGGACTGAGGAGACTGACCAGCTTGGACTTGAATGGGTGGTGCGCGCCTCCTGGAGGTCGATCGTTGCAAGGTAGGGTCTGAATTGAGGAAATTGAATGTGTTCTGTGTATTGCTCTGTGTTGGCCCCATGCGTGGAGATACCACAGGAGAAGGAGGTACAGGCACCTATAGGAGTCGCGCCACCAAAAATAAAAAAGAAATCTAAACTTTTAGAGACCGATAAAATCACCAGCTTGTTAGACCAGCGATTATTCAATAAATGGTTTTTACCTTGTAGTTGTCTGAATCATACGTCGGTACATGAACTGTCTTATCCTTAGGTTCCTGGCGGGGAGTAGACCAAAGGGAAAAAAAAAAGAAAGAGGGGTAAATTGTGAGCAAGCGATGAAGCAGCATAGGTGGTGCTCAATGTGAACTACATGTACAAAAAAAAAAAAAGCTCTCATACACACCTGAGCATGTTGAGCACCATCGGTTGATGCTATTGCTCCCTGTAAACCGGATCCATCTCCTGGAGAGGCTATTCCGGCGGCTGACAGCTCTTGACTCTTCATTGGGCTGAGTGGAACAGAAGTAACCGTTGGACCTTCTGTGCCAGAAGCTGTTACTGTTGCTGCTGCTGTTGCCAAGGCCCTTAGATTAGACGCTGATCCAAGCTTTGCAAGTGGATGATGAGATCCAGACGAAGGTGGTGATGCAGAAGATGAAGCGACCGAGATAGGACCTGGAGGCTCCCAGGTTTGATTCAGGGTCTCGAGGTGGCTGTGGTAGCTTTTGACGTTCGACAGATAGGGTGCGTCCTTGGAGCCGTTCTTCAGGATAGATGTCTGGCGCTTCAATGGTTGATGTGGGGTTGAAGGTGAAGGTGGTCCCGATCGACTTTGGTGGCGCAAGAGTGGCGAGGAGTAATTAATCTTGCTGTTGGATCTTTGTAAGCCCGAAGATGAGGCGACTGTCAGGAGTGAGGCATTATCACTTTGAGTAGAGCTTTTGTTGTCAAAATAGCTGCTGGTTGGACTAGTGCCAGGGTGATTGTCATTTCCAGGACTGTTTGGTTGTGTTCGGATACTAGGCGAGTTCTGAGGGGAGGTCTGATTAGAATATGGTGAAGGGGGTTGATATTGATCAGAGGCCAAGTTCCCTTGCTGGTGTGATTGCTGATTATTCTGATTCTGATTTTCGCCATTGACAGATGATGCTGTGGTCACTTCCTGGCTATTCAGGGTATGGTTGACGGAGCCAGCAGAGGACTCTTGGCGCTGCGCGTTTTGCGAAGGTGCACGGCGCAGACTTGCGCTTCTGCTAGGGAGACTGGGCCGAGGAGGAGGGTGTGCATCTCGAACTGGGGGCAGGATAGGCTGTGGACCTGATGTCTTGAGGTCGAGAGGGCCCGAGATGTTGATTTGATTCGTCGTAGGCGAGGGCAACTCGGACTGAGGCCCACTAGGGGCATACGTTGGCATATTAGGAGACCGAGCAGCAGGCCCTTGATGTTGTGGTGATGGTGGATAGGGGTTATGGCCTTGCGTAGGTGGAGGGGGGATATAGGTGTTAGTGTTAGCATTAGACATGATGGAGTGAGACTAGAAAAGTAATGAGGACGTAACTAAAAAAAAAAAAAAAATAATGAATGAATGAGAAAAATGATGAATGAAATGAAATGAATGAAGTTTGAAGTGTCTACATGAACATGGTTGATAAAAAAGAAGGAAAAGCTATTAGGGAGGATTAGAGGATTGAAGGGTATCCAGAATGGAGTAAAGGTAAAGGGAGAGGGTTTCTTTTGTAGGAGAAAGGAAGAAGGATTCTGTTTTGTTGGAATTAAAATTAAAATTAAAAGTAAAAAAGAAAGACAACGTGGTTTGCCTTCGTCTCATATAAATGATTAAACACAAACAAAGCAAATAAACAAAACCACATTTTCTTTATGCATAATAGCCGTTCAACAACAGCCAAGAAGGCCCTGTCTTCACATTACACACATCATACACATTCATATGCACTTATATATCATGCATGAGCATGCAATGAGGACATGCGCCGTCCGTTGTTGTCATATTTAACATCCTGCTTCAAACCTAGCTTGCTAACATCTACTTAGTCCGCTTTTTTTTTTGCTCTACTAATTTTTTTTTATTAATAAATATAAATGTATATGAAAATGCAATATACTTTTGTGTGTAGATATCTATATGTTAGCGCCACTTCATCGATCTTCCTCCTTCACTTCCCCCAAAAGAAATTGTCAGAATGAAGAATGGGCTATTGGTCTTCGTCCTTGTGAGCCGCCCGGGGTCTATCCTGCGCCTCATTTTTATAAAAGTAAGGTACCAGAACACATGTCCCTGAAGAACGTTTTTTCTACACATGTCTTTGCTACCGCTGTTGTTATTGTTGTTGATTTTTTTTTTTTTTTTTTTTTTTCTTTTTCTTTTTGATCGGGAATTGCGGTCTTCTCCTCCTTCTCTTCCTAATCTCTCCATCTCTTCATGATCGTAAACTATGTGTTTCTATATATACTGTTAATCGGGCAAGCAAATGCCTCGGTTAATGCCTTGCCTAGTCTGATTCTCAATTGATGAAGCGAGTTTTTTTCTGCATTGTTTTTTTAGAGGTCCGAAAGAGAAATGAAAAAAAAGATGAATAGATGGTCTATATCAGCGTATTGGTGCCAACAAAATAAGGTTAATAGCTGTCATTTCTGTGTTGAGAGCATTGTTAGAGTATGTACTGTACACGTCTACATATACATATACATTTGTATATTAATTCATCCTTGTGAATACTTGGACTAAAAATACATGTGTCCGGTGAAGAAGGCTAATGGTGATCAATAAAAAAAAAAAGAGTCAGAACGTCTACTCTTTCTTACCAATCGTATATTTTTGTAGACTTTACAAAAGTCAGGTAGCATGAGCTCATTTTGCATTTCCTGGCAGTCAATTAGCCGATAGAAGACAGTTGGGTCCGAGACTTTATCTTTTATGGAGAACCGAATAATACAGATTCATCTGAGGAACAAGTTTCGGCCACATGAAAGCCAAGAAACACAGGTGAATGGATACCTTCCCCCTTTCTCCTCTCAAATGTTTCGTTGATTCTTTTTGCCCACCCAATGGGTTAGGGCTCTCTCTTTCTTTCTGATTCGAACACAAATTTTTTTTTTTTCTGATTCTGCCAAGTTTGTTGAACAGGGGCCATGCTTATCCGTGTCACCATTTTCAATGCTTGTGCAGCCGTTTCACATTAAAGAGCAAATTGGTGGCGCTGTTGACCAAATCTAAGCATGTATAAACCATTTGACATGGATCAATGGGTGATGTATATATAATAACGCCATATGATGCAAGTCCAAGCTTAGTCTACTTGTATTATGCCTGCTGCTTCATTGGTCATAATCCTTCACTTGAACTCACATATACTCGACATGTTCTTGGGGGGCTTCTCAGCGCTTTGACCTTGATGGCGATCGCCTCCTGCTCATGTCTCGTAACGAGCAATAGATTAAAAAATTTATGCCTGGACCAGGGACCACTCGAAGGAGCCAACTTTGTAGTTTAATAAATTTTTATATCTGCGCCTCTCATTTTGATATGACATTTTCCATTTTCATAACCTATCCCTGAACATTTGAAATATGGTATGGGGTTATTATCTCTCGGACATTTCTCAGATATGATTATTAAATTATCGTTCATTTGACAGATATTTAAAGAGCGTTAATAGCGACCTGTATACTCTTGTGTATACTTGCAAACAGTTCGAGAATAGGGTTTATTTTCTTATATTAAGCAGCGTTTTGCATCAATTGGGATAATGATTTTAGTCAATATTTCAAATCCATGGTTATTGGGACAGTTTTCTAGGAGGTAGATTTTGAGCTAGGCTAGTTTTTGAAGGGATTGAGTATGGAGCCTTGTGAGCAACGGCTTTGAGGAACGTTAGGGGTTTTCACTGGCTGACTAGATTTTTAATTAATTCCTGGTCGATTATTTTTAAATGGAGAGTGTAGATAGTGGTGAAGAACGATAAGAAGGTGAGGCGCTTCCTAACAAAGAATACTGGGAATGGAGGCACTTTCAGATATCAAATGGCGATGCTGGCTCGATCTTCTCCATCTTTTGTGAAACATTGCTTCGCCATCTTGCTCACGTGTCGATTTATCTTTTTCTCTCTCTTTTCATTCAACCTTCTATTACCTCTCCCTACTACTCTATTCACCCACATATTTCATTGCCCACCCTCGGCTCCATTCTCTTCTTTTGCGTTGTTCGACTTCATTGCTGTATTTTGGGCCATTCATACACTCTTCTTGATTGCAAGTCTTCTGCTGTGAGTCTCTCTTCAATATCGTTATTACATGATTATCTTGCTGATGAAATACCGTTAACCTTATAGTAATGCTTCTTGCTTTGACAGCTACAGAGAAAAAGAAAAAAGAAAGCATGAGGTGGCTACAAAGCATGCCAAGGCGAGACCAACTCCCACCTCAGAAAGCCTTAGACCTTGCTACCATCTACTTGGAGCAGGCACACAAAACAAACGATCCTGTGCTCGCTTTGGAGATATGTTTGGATGCTGAGAATGCTCTTTATCGAATACAGCAATCTGATCAAAAGTTGCTTGTCAAAGCCTCAACAAGCAATACAGACAATGCAAACAAAGCGCTATGCAAGGCAATCGCTGCTACTCTGAATGATGTTGGTGCATTGTTTGACAATCTCGGTCATCCAGATCACTCTAAAAGAGGCTACAAGCATGCAGCCAAATGGGGTCATCCTCAACAACTCAACCCAGCTCCAAGCAACCCTCATACGTATTGTCGAGCCAGCAACGCTGCCAAAGATGACAATGAGGGTGGTGGTAATGATGGTAATGACGATGCCAATAGCAGCAGCAAAACTCAAAGCAACAGCAGAACTGTTCAAGAAAGCGTTAGCACAATCGGTAGCAAAGTCGACAATATCAACAATGCATTGAAGAGCCTCTTGATCCACAGCTCTGTGATTGTCCCTAAAGAAATATTTAGCCAAGATGTACCTCAAGTGATCTTCAAGTACAACCTCCCTCATCCAGATACACCTTTGAACAATACACAGCAGCTAGCGTATTGTCTTGGATTGCTTCCTACTGCTCCCATTCCAAGAAAAGACCTCAGTAAGCAAGAGCAAGAATGGTCTTTGGCCACATCGGATGATCATGATGAGCAAGAGCGTCTTTGCAACCTGGCATCTGATGTGATTACTATGTTCATCCATGACGATATCAAGTCTGAGGCTATTGTCACTGAAGTTGTGATGCTGGCTCCAGTCCTCGACTATGACCAATACAGGACACTACTCATGGCTTTGGTCAATGGAATCAAGCAGAACATCATGCTAGAGACTCATTTACTCGAAGGATTGACTCAACTGGTCCAGCATGTTCCTCCTAGATATCTCGACCCTTACGATCTAGTTCATATTCTCAGCACTCTCAGCTCTTGCTTACAAGGCACACATGAACAATCTGGCAGTCACATCTATCAGCTGTGTGTTACAGTCTCACATGTTCTAGATGCCATGGTCGACAATCAAGTCAAGGGTCTGAACCGAGAACAACTCCATGAGCCACTGTCAGCCTACTTGAAGGTACTGAAAGATAGCTCAGATCCTTTTTTGGTCTACCATGCAGCTTATGCTTCACAAGCTCTACTGTATATCCCAAATGATGAAACAATAATGCAGGCCATGCTTCGACGTACATCAGCAGTGGCTCAAGGAGTGTTTGGAGCAGTAAGTGCAGTCAAGGATTGGGATCTCAATGCTTTCATGGATGAACTGTCCAATGTCCAGAGAGGGCTCCCATCTGTGGCTGACGCTATAGATAAAAGTTTACGGATGTACAAAGGTGCAACATCAATCTACACAAGTGGAGAAGCATTCAAACACAGTGTGGAAGAAGGACTAGCTTTTAGTCACAAGAGTGCATGGTATCCAGCACTCCGTAGAGCTGATGCATTCCTCCAATCAGGTGAGCTCACCAAGTTCAAGACTCTTATATGTGAAGCACCTTGTCGACGAGATGTAGCATTCCAATGGGGAATATGTCTGCGGTTAAGAGAGATTGCAGCCAGTACAGAGTGGATCATGAAGGCACGCCAAGATGCAGTTAGTTTCCTTGGAGAGATCTACAAGAATGACAGAGACTGGGGTGGCCATGTGGAGATCAAGCAATGGGTCATTAATATACTAAAGAGCCTGGTGTCATTATCGAGCGAACATCTACAAGGTAAATAGATATGGAACCACATATTCAGTTGGACTATGAGAAACAAAGGTGCTAATAATGCACTATATGCTCTACTTACATATCCTTCTGTAGTCGCTGAGTCACTTCTGACTGATCTTGCTATGGATGGTGATACCAACAAACAGCAGCTATACATGAACTGTTTCAACGAGCCACTAGCAAAATATCCCTTCATCACTACACCACCCTCACCTGCTTCTCCATCATTGCTCGATCATGTACAAAATAAACCTGATGTCGAGAAGAGCTTACGCCTACTCAAACGACAGCGGATGGAAACTGGAGATGATCGTGGTTTTTACGTTCAACAGTATGCAAAAGCAAGC